GTATGAATTAAATGATTAAAGATGTATATGGCAACAAGAAGATCCCATGCTATACTTGCCTTAAATTCATATCCTTCTTCTAGTCCAAACCTTCAATGGAACTCCTTCTTGATCAACACGTAAATCTCACCGACTGGACATGATTATAAAGCACCACACAAATACCCATGCAATCATACACGAAGCAAACAATAGATCTAAATTAGAACATTACACCAAATAGATGAAACAACAAGTAAAAATGTTTTAAAGATGTTCTATACGTTGATACGAACACACAGGCACGAAAAACACTCTAATCGGGGCTATAACGAAAAATTATGAATTAAACAAGATTTTCTTTAATAAAATAATATATTAAATCTAACCTCGAATTTCAAAAGTTGAAAATATATTTAAAAGTAGGATGAATATGTAGATTACTCAATTACGAATCTAACGCAACTTGAATGGATCAAAACGGAGTTAAAACGGAGAAGTTATGGCCTAAAAAAAACTAGTGGCAAAACTATAAATAGATGAAAATGTATTTTGAATCTACTAGAAAGAAACTACGCTTCCAGAATAAGAAAACGTATTCTGGGAGTACGCCACGACTGTGGGTTCTATTTAGATAAAACTAAGGGGCTCTTTAGCAAAATTGCATGCGAAGGGGTATCTTCTAATCTGGGCCGTTGAATCAAAGATGGACGGCTACCGAGGGTTGGAGGATTTCTTCGGCCGGCACAGTGACTCCAGCGCGGTGGTTTCCATGGCTGGCGATGCAGAGCTCGTTGGTGAGTGTGAAAACGGTCCTAGAGACCACGGGTCGAAGCAAGAAAAACACCGAGAGAACAAGGGGAGCACGGCGAACTCACCGCGGGACTTTCTTGCGGTCGACGGCGAGGCTACGACGTCGGGCAGCGCGGTGGGACGGCGGCGAGCACGACGACTAGGGTTCCACGGCGACGCTGCAGGTCTAGACGTGAGGCAACATGAGCTAGGGTTTGTGATGGAGCAGGCCTACGCGGCTTGGGCCGGAGCGCGAGCTGGGCCGTGGAAAAGAGGGAGTGGGCTGCAGGTCGACGAGGTGAAGCTGGGCTGCGTGGGGAGAGAGAAGGAGATGGGCCGCGGCGGGGGAGTGGCAGGAGCAGGCCAAATGCCGGATAGGGAGAGGGAAAAGTAAAGAATTCCCTTTCTATTTTCTTTTCCTATTTCAAAACCACATTCAAATATGAACCAAATCAAGTTTGAATAGGGTTTCAAATATACTTTTCAATTCAAATAAAAGTGAGCAAATTTTGATAAGTTTTCCAAAAATAAAATTTACAACTTTTAAATTCTTTTTATTTTCTAATTTTATTTTATTTTATTTCAAAGTCATTTTCAAATTCATTTTCAAAAGCATTTTGAATTTTGGATTCAACCATTCATTGCAATAAATCAAATGCACCGGCATGTATGCACATCCATGTTGCTACTCCTTATAATAAATTTTAAATTAATGAAAATTTTTATTTTCCTATGTTTTATGAGCACAAAAATACGAAATTAAATCAATTTAGCTCTATTTCTAAAGAAGCATATTTTAGGGTGTTACAATTCTACCCCGTTAAGATGAATCTCGTCCTCGAGATTCGGACGATAATGATCAAAGAGATATAGATTCTTCGCCTTTGGATTCTTCTTTACTTCATCGAGTAGTTTCATCTTCTTGATAAGGATTCCGCCTTACTTTGCATACCTGTTGATCTTACCCCAAGTAACTTGCTCTACTAATTCTAAATTTTGACAGATTCTCCAGACCATGCCTAGGTAATTTCAATCACTAGACCATGTTTTTTTCTTTTTAGTCCTTACTTATTAGACTTCTTTCTTCATATGTTCACCTTCTAACGGAGCCTGACGAATCTCTTGATCAGAAAGAGAATATACCACAAATCTTCAAAACATTAAGGATTACGGTTAAGTTGCTCGAACTTGGATACAATTCGTAGTTTTTGGTGTCACCCGAACCTTCTTAGCATAATTCTCCGTTGCTAAGGTCATCGGCCATGACTTTGCTTCTCGAAGTGATAGCACTTTTCTAAGTCATAATCAATTTCATTCCAATGAGGATAACACAAACTCAAGACCAACTTAGTGAAGATGTCCTATAGATTCTTGTGATCCTCCTAGACGTCACTTTTATGCCTAAGTAGATAGTAGCTCCATGCTTCACAATGGATAACTTCAGATAACATGTTAGGTAGTTCAACTCACGCTTGCTTAGTTGACTTAATGAACAAACCACTACTTTTCTTCTTGTATAAAGACACATCCCACACCTTAACAAGGTGCATCATTGTAGATATAAAGCTCTTATCCTGATCTGACAAAGCTAATATATATGTTTTACTTCAACCACTTCTTGACTCCTTCAAACACTTAGCTGAGGTCTCTTGATCCGAACTTAAAACCTTATCCAGTAGCATTATCAATATCTTGATGATCTCGATTAAACCTCCCTTGAACCTCTATTCAAATCTTATTGAAACTCTGAGTTTCTCTTACATTTTGGGTGGATGCTTTGTGATCGCAGGATGCAACAATCAGTTACGTTTGTACTGCCATGTATACACTATCTTCCTCCATGTGAGCAAAGCAGCATCTGAAGTGAGAAAAAGGAAGAAACAATGCAAAAGTTATCTTGTCAGCTCTCGATTTCCCATTGTTCGCTAAGGTTCCACTTCCACCCGTCAATTTCACGAGGGAAACCTCTGATTGACGCGGTGAAACCGATTCCGGAATATAACTTTTACTGATGGAGAGAGCATAAGCTTTAGCGTCCTCAATGTTCAGACCTCGTCTGAATGAATGTAGGATCATGAGCCCTGGGTGGGTGTGAAACTGAGAAACAGGTTTTTCCCTCCCTGATCTCCTGGGTGTAAAATTTCGATGCCAATTACTGACTGAAACCACTCCGAGAAAAATTAAAGAACCAAAAACTGGCCGCCGACCGAACAGGTGGCAGCATCGGATTCGTCCAATCCAGCCCCCTGATCGTTGTCGTTGCCATGACCATGAGCTGGAGTGAAGCGCACCTCTTGGCTCGCTCGCTGACACACCACCAACAGATACAAACGCAGCACCGTCCGTCAGCTAGAAACGAAACGCTTTCCATTTCCTACTATAGTCGGTCGGTGGCCGTCGACAGGCACTGAATGAAGAACAAGAGGCCACGAATCCATGACATTTACATGGGCACTAACGCCCTCCCCGATCACACGCGTCCGGCGCGACTGGATGCATCCGCAGGGAGCCGCCCGAGGCAAAAAGAGCCTTTTTGCGATGTGGAGCGCGAGCCCTGCACTTGGGAATCTCAGGTATTTGATATAAAAAATTTATACTAAATTTCGAATTTCAAAATACTAGAATGACTGTTGGTTGGTGAATCAGCTAGATCCACGGTCAACTAAAACAAACAAACCCCACTAGGCACTTTGTGGAGCCATGCCCGCCAAGTCCGGCCAGCAACTGACAGCGGCTGCAAGGCTAGCAGCCGACAGCGGCATTTTTCAGCTTATTGTTTCCGCCAGAACAATATTTGGGCTCGTTTTTTCATCGAAGCTGACAGCCATAGCATTTCAAGACGGCAAATCACTGGGAACGCAAGAAAATATCACGTACTACGCGGCATCATTTCTGAACTGAACGTCTAGAGGATAGAATAGCTAATTAGGCTATCTCCAACAATAATGTCTAAAATATAAGACTCATTCGTTTTTTGGTAGCGCTACAGATAAAAGATTCAATACCTATTTGACATCTTCTCCAACAACAAGATCCAAAAGAGAATCCTTTATGCAAATGGGTTTCCAGGAGAGAGGATGTTCATATTTAGGTTTTGCCTCTCAGATAATCCAAAATAAGTCTTCCGTATAGGTACTCTATTGGAAGCTAATTTGAATATTTTGCTACTCATTTTGGATTTGGATGTCCAGGTAGGTTTCTTAGGGGGTGTTTGGTTTTTAGTCGCTCCTAAAATTTATGTCACATCAAATGTTTAGAGGCTAATAAGGAGCATTAATTATAAATTAATTATAAAACCAATTACATAGATGGAGACTAATTTTCGAGACGAATTTTTTAAGCCTAATTAATTCATCATTAGTACATGTTTACTGTAGCACCGCGTTGTCAAATCATGGACTAATTAGGCTTAAAAGATTCGTCTCACAAATTAGTCGCAAGTTGTGCAATTAATTTCGTAATTAGTCTATATTTAATACTTCATGCATATGTCTAAACATTCGATGTGACAAGAATTTTAGGAGGTGGGGAAGGAACAAACAGGCCCTTTCTAGAGACCGTCTTAGCTAGGGACGATGGTCGGTTGGACAATTCTGTAGAGGGCCAGAGGCTAAGTTAACCACAGCCGCGTAAATAAAACACAATCAAACAAGGAGAAGAAAAGACCCGTGGAAGATAATTCTGAGGTCAATCACGAAAGGAAAAGGAAAAGTAAGAAGGCAGCAGCAGCACAGATTGAGGGAGGCTTTGCAGTGCAGCACTTGCAATTGCAACGCAAGCAAAAGGGACCCATGAGCAGAAGCTTATCGATCAGGCGGCCGGGCCCGCCTCAGGGCGCCACGTGGTAGGCTCAACCAACGGTGCCGACGGCCGCCCGGGCCCGCCGCTCAGCTTCACGTACGACGGCCGTGACACGTACACTCCTATGTAGCGGGCGAGGAAAGGCTGGCTCATGGATTCGACGTCACACGCACGCAAGCAGCTAGCAGGCAGCAGCACGACGACGTCCCTTGCTTTGTGATCGATCACGCATGCGGTACAGTGAGCTCCATCTCCTCTTATCCTCCCTTATAAAGGCAGGTGGGCACTGCACCTGCATCCTTAGTCGTCTACACACATCGCAGAGCTAGCTCGCGATCATCCGACAGGGCTCGTGCCGCCATTACCGGGCCCGTCGTCCATCGTTACAGCTACCCTCCTGGTCCATCGCCTCTAGCAATCTACGTACCATGGGTCGGCAGCCGTGCTGCGACAAGGTGGGGCTGAAGAAGGGCCCGTGGACGGCGGAGGAGGACCAGAAGCTCGTCAGCTTCATCCTCCTCGGCAACGGCCAGTGCTGCTGGCGCGCCGTCCCCAAGCTCGCCGGTGCGTGCAACTGCATGCTCTTGCTCCATCCATCGTTTCCTGTCCCTGCATGCTTCGCACTTCAGTTTTTGTGATGATGAGAGGAACTTGTTGCGCTTCCAAATACTGCGTGCAGGGCTGCTGCGGTGCGGGAAGAGCTGCCGGCTGCGGTGGACCAACTACCTGCGGCCGGACCTCAAGAGGGGCCTGCTCTCCGACGCCGAGGAGAAGCTCGTCATCGACCTGCATGCTCAGCTCGGCAACAGGTGTGTGCCATATACCGAGATATGAGTATTTCTTTCCTTTTTCTCCTAAAGCTAAAAATGAAAATGAAAATAAACTCAGTTTCTTCTTGTAAATAATAAACTTAAAAAAATTTGTTAGGTGGTCCAAGATTGCGTCGCACTTGCCAGGGCGAACGGACAACGAGATCAAGAACCACTGGAACACCCACATCAAGAAGAAGCTCAAGAAGATGGGGATCGACCCGCTCACCCACAAGCCCCTCTGCCCGTCGTTGTCCCCTGATCCGCAGCAGCTGCAGAGCCCACCGCCCACCGCCACCACCGCTGGCTCGCCGGAAGCGCAGCCATCGCCGCCATCTCCGTTACGGAAGCCTCCAGAGCAGGAGAAGACAGCCGCAGCACCGGTGACGCCACCGCCGGCGGCGACGACAGCTAGCCAGCAAGAACTAGCAGGCGACGATGACGAGACGCTCCTTAGCAACTCTCCAGGCTTCTGCACCGACGAGGTACCCATGATGCACCCGGACGAGATCATGGCGCCACTAAGCGGCGACCTGCAGACACCGCCATTGCCGACGTCGACGACGACTTTCTCACCGCCCGCCGGCGCCGCCGCTGCCGCCGTCTCGACGCCCACGACGTCCTACTCTGCAGCCTCGGCGTCATCGTCTTCCTGGAGCCGCGACGAGGAGGCGCTGTTCCCGCTCATGTACATGGAGTTCCCGGTCCCGGAGAATATGTTCCAGATGGGGCTAGACGACATGGTCCCGTCGTGGGACGACTCCTTGGCGCAGCCACCGCTGTCGCCATCGCTGCCGGTCTACGAGGACTATGCGTACCAGCTGCAGATGAGCGGCTTTGCGTTTGACCCGGAGCCAGGGAACAAGATTCAGCTCTTCAATAGCTATTAAACAATTACCGAGTGTCAAAAATCGGAGCACTCGGAAAAAACTACTTACAACACTCAAAAAAAATAAACATCCGGTAGTAGACCGCTTTACCGAGTCCGCACACTCGGTAACTTCAAAAACTCGATAAAACTACAAGTTTACCGAAGGGGTGCACTCGGTAAAAAGAGACACTCGGTATTGAGGTGCCACGTCACTAGTATACCAACCGTGCGCCAAACGGCATCACGGCATGATATGTTTACCGAGTGTAGAAGTATTTGCACTCGGTAATAATAAAGTTTTACCGAGTGTAAGTGCACAACACTCGATAAACACTATCTTTTACCGAGTGTATTGGCGCAACACTCGGTAAAATTCAACCAAATTTCTTGTTTTTCCCTTCATTCTTTTTCCTCTATCCACATATGATATTTAGTACTCCATTCCAAAATATGGTGTTTATTTCGATTTATTTACTATATTTCACAAAATTTTCATTCTTTATGATAATTAGATACATATCGTGTAAATTTAATTGTAATAATTAAAATCGAACTCGATAAATCACGAGATTGGAAGAATTAACATTGAAGCATACATCTATGTTATAGAAAAAATTTCATAACGTTTCGGAAGTATTTTTACATTCGTCGCTGCCGAACCGGTACATCTCCCAAAGAGACGCTAAACATTCACAACGACGAGTAGGATTTCTATTAAGAGTGAAATTCAACATTATGATTTGAACTTGGAATTTTTTAGATAGTAAATAGATGACATGAAATAGTTCATGTGAAAGTTTGATGAATTTTAGGATTAAATTGGCATTTTTTCATTTTTGTTTTGCATGAAATAATGGATACTTTTATCGAGTGTGACCTCAAACACTCGGTAAAAGTTAGCCACGGCCCACCTGTCTGCCACAGTGGGCTGTCATGCTTCTGTTTACCGAGTGTCGTAGATCTGGGCACTCGGTAAACATGTACTAGTCCCACATGTTATTGGGTTACGGTGCTTGCATTTCTGAAAGTGCCGTAGATCTGAGCACTTTCGTAAACATGTATCGTGCCCACATGTAATTGGGCTGCGGTGCTGAGTTTACCGAGTGCCGTATATCTAGGCACTTTCGATAAACAGAGGCATTCACTTAGCCGCTTTCTCTCTCAAATCGTGCACAGACACACACGTCCACAAGCATCCACGCCACAAGATCCCGCCCGCCGCCGCCGCCCTCCCCCAGCCGGGCGCCTCCCGCCGTCCCCAGCACTTTTGCGCCCAAGGCCTCAAGGCCCACGCCCACGCCGCCGCTCCCCCACCGCCGACGCCGGCGCCTCCCCTCCACGCCGCGCCTCCTCCCCTCCACGCCGCCGCCAGCCTCCTCCCATTGCCGCCGGGCGCCTCCCCACCACCACCGCCGCCTCCCCTCCACCACCGCCGCCACCGGGCAGTCCCCACAACCGCCGCCACCGGAAAGGAAGGGCTGCAACCTCATCCATTGCCGAGGTTTGTTGCTAATCTATCTTCTCTGCAGTCTGAGGATTACCGTCAGATTTCACGATTGCAATTAAGTCGATTTCGTCCAGATTGCCGAGGTTAGATATGTACATGGAATCGAGCTGAATTTTTTTAGATAATGAAATCGACAATAATAGAATACTTAAATTTTGTTGTTATATCCATTTCATTTATTGCTAAAACAGCAATTGTATGTGCTTCTAGGGGCTTTCACCGCAACGCCTCATCTTTACAAAACTTCAGACAGTCTCAATTGATGCATGGCTGAGACCACTTGTTGCCCGCTAGTTACAATTCACAAAGTTAAGTCTGTACCACCGAATCCATCCATGATGTTGCATTTAATTTGCAGACTCGAATTTTGCTTTGGTAGTAAAGCTGGAAGATATGTATTTTAGCAAGATAACTTGCACCGAATCTTAGTTGAAATAAAGTAAACAAGTTACATAGTTGGCGGCCAGCTTGCTGCTGCTGTGAACAATAATGCACGGCATGCATGCCAATGTGCTTAGCTGTGCCTGCAAGGACACCAACAAGACTGCAGTTTTGCACATCGCAGCCAACATATTTACACCCATCTTGTAGAGCTTGTAACACTCTCAAAGCTGGCAATGGTGATGTGATTAAAACTACTTATAGGAGTATAGAAATCATGAACAATCAGTGTTAGTGATAACCTTTCAGACACAATGATGTCACACTATGTTTTAGGACCTGTAAGAAACTACTTTTGCAATCCTCAGCATCTCTGTGGAAGTTGTGGCAACAAAACATTTGGAATGAACTACAAATGATCCTTGAACTGCAATTCTAGCATACTAACAGAAAGTGTGATCAAGAGTCAGCAATGCTATGACCTTGCAGTCACAATCCAATAATAACAATCAGCATGCACTACTCTGTTCTTCGATTGCAATACTGCCATTGTTTAGCCATGTTTGAATTAGACCCGTGCAAAAAATATTCACTTTTGTTCTCTGGACATGGCCACTTTATTTCTAAAAATTCCTCTTGTTGAAATGCTCAGGGGAAGGGGGCTTCTAAGAAGCACGAGCTCAAATCTAAGCAAAAATTGGAAAAAAAGCTCAAGTTTTACTCAAGTAGGTGTGACCTTATCTTAAGTCGACGATTTTTTTTTTCTATGAGATCTTGATTCATAGATTCCCTCATGTTGTCCTATCATCCATCTTTCACTTTTGTTGAATTAGATGTATGTACAAGCCGGACATATGTAGGTAGTATGGTGTTGAGGGTTAAAAGTTTGATTGTATGGAAGAACTGATCGAAGTGTCGGCCTTAGGATAAAGGCATTTGTAGATACAAACTGGACATGTAACATTTGTAGATACAAACTGAATTTTCATAATTCTGCAATGTGGATGATAGATAGCTCTATTTAATCTGATGGATAGAGACGAATGTTTATGAACTATATTTGTAAACTTCAAATGTTTACTTCAAACACATGAACCATGGAATCCCAGTCTTCATATTCAGGTCATTTACGCTTGCAACATCTAGCAATGAGTAGCACGAGGTATCCCATGCTTGTACCTTCTTCAAATAGCTTGGTCAATTTTGTTTTTCATACAATGTCATTGCATTTTCTAGAGAAGAAATATTAACTATCAATGGGTTGTCATCTCCATTCTTCATTGTCCGAAAAGATGAATAATGGTTCTTTTGCATAGTCATCAACATAGTAATGTTTACTTTCGGATGCTCCGCACAGTGTGTCTATCTTAGCACTTGATTTCTCATAATGTAGGACTATCAATATTTCCCTAAACATCATGACTTTATCCACATAGTTTATTTGCCAAATAATTCAAGTATGTCACTGCGAGAATTTGAGGCTGCCATCTCTGGTGTTCCCGGTAGTCAAAGAAAACATTATGTGTTTACTTTCAGTTTCTTGTATGGAGTAAATAGGTTATTTGTTAAAATACAGTATGAATGGATTATTTTAGCTGAATTGCATTATATGTCTATGCGGTCTCTTGCTAGACAACTAAGGTAATGATGTTAGATGAACTAAACATTGTAAAAACATACTTGATATGAGAAAAGGGTCCAAAACAACAAATTTATGCTATTAGAGAATACACTTGGAGGTAACTACAGTAGTAGACTTTTGCTTCCTTCAAATCATTCCACATAAGACTTAGTGCACTACTACTCTTCCATGTATTCCTCCATCTACAAGTGACATAGCGGCCTTTCAACCTTAGGTAAAATCTCATCATCCAATCTAGCAAACATCTTCTATGTGAATCGACCAAGAACATGAATGTCTCTTTATCATCTCATATGGTTTTTCTCTAGCACTACTACTCTATTGCTCTAAACGCAATATCGTCTATATGTTAGGATGGATGACCGTCGGCGGATGTACACGGGCTATCGAAGAGGGGTCAATACACAAATGAATGGATTGAGAAGGCCAATGATTTCATGACGAAGGCATTTGCAAACGGACGACGACATGCACCGGTGTCCCTGTAGGAAGTGTAAGAACAAGGCAATGAAAACATATGAGGAGATGAGTAAAGATCTTGTCAACAATGGATTTGTAGAGAACTATACCCGTGGACCATGCATGGTGAACGCCATCGTCGCGAGAGAGAGAGGTCGTGAGACAACGGATCGAGGAGTTTGATTCTGAAGCGAGGTGGCGAAATGTTAAATGACCATGACATGGCTTTCGATGAAGGAAGTGCGGAGCGGGAGCCAGAGCAAACTACAAAGGCGTTTTTACGCCATGTTGGATGCGGCACAACAACCCTTCACGGGCACACCAATGTTTCTAAACCGGATGCCATTGCACGCCTAATGGTGTGAAGTCCCGGTTTAGGCCGGAGTAGAGAATCATTCGATCAATCAAGATGATGTTGGCACCCTACTTCCGGATGATCACGTTACGCCAAAGAACACGTATGAGTCAAATAAAATCCTTCGTGCACTCAAGATGTCGTGCGAAAGATATACATGCTTTGTCCGAACGGATGCATCTTATTTAGGGAGAACATGCCGACGATAAGTACTATCCGAAGTGTAAGGCATCTAGGTACATTGAGTTAGAATCGGTGATGGTCGGAAGACGCGCAAACAAAAGTCGCCGCAAAGATCCTAAGGTACCTTCCTTTCATACCGAGGATCCAACGGCTTTTCATGAGTGAGGAATCCGCAAAATAGATGACGTGGCACAAAACTGGACGCCGATACACTGACAAGTTGATACATCCGTTCGATGGTGAATCATGGAAAAGCTTCGATCGGAAGCATACCGACAAAAGCTGACGAGGCTCGTAATGTACGCATTGCACCGCAAATCGATGGGTTCAATCCTTATGGAATGGGTTCTTCACCATGCACATGTTGGCCCGTATTCGTCATCCCTCTCAACCTCCCACCTAGCGTCGCCTTTCAACGGCAAAATATTTTCTTGTCACTTATAATTCCAGGACACCCGGGGGCTAATATGAGTGTGTACATGGAGCCTTTGA